TTTGCATTCCAGAATGTGCAGGCAAGGCAAGCCAGGTGGAAAATGGAGGAAGTCCAAAGGAAAGAGTCCTTAGGAGAGAAACGACTGCCGTACCCATGGGGAACAATTTACATGGCAGCAGATTTCTCAACAGAAGCCAAGAAGGTCAGAAGGAAGTGACACATCTTTCAAGGGCTGAAAGAAAAGAACTGTCAACCCAAATTCTATATCCAGTGAAAATATCCCTCAGGAACAAAGAGGTAAATTGAGACACTTGTCACCAGCAGACCTACCCTAACAGAATGGCTCAAGGAGGTTCTCTACACAGAAAGGAAATGATAGAAGAAGAAATCTTAGAATCAGTAAGGAAGAACAATGACGAGAGTAAGAATGTCAGTAAGTAGAGACTTTTTTCTCCTCTTGAGTTTTGACATATGAAGTAAAAATCACAATACTGTCTTATGTGGGTCTCAATATATATAGGGGGAAATATTTAAGACAATTATATTATAAACAAAGGAGGGTAAAAAAAGATAAGGTTTCTTACACTTCACTTAAACTGGTAAATGTTAACACTAGTAGATGGTGAAAAGTTTTGTATACACAATATAATACCTAGTAACTACTAAAAAGCTAAATAAATACCCTCAAAAATACTACAGATAAATAAAAATGGAATGCTAAAAAATATTCAAGAAACCCACAGGAAGGCAAGAAAAGGAAAAGAGAATTGAAAAACTGAACAAAAAAAGAAACCCAAAACCAGTATTAACTTAAATTTTGCGACAAAGAGGAGTTGCAGTTGAGGACTTAGCAAGCAACATACCCCGTTGCTAAGAACACAGGCTCAAGAGTCAGACTTATGCCTGAACATTACCACCTTCCAGATGCTTGATCTTTGGCAAGTTATATAACCTTTCTAAACCTCAATTTCCTCACCTATAACATGGAGACAATAACAGTTATTATCCACAGGAGACCGTTCAAAGAATTAAAATTAATACGTATAAAACTCTTAGCCCAATGCTTGACATATAATGAGAGCTCAAAAAACATTAGCAATTATTTGTATCAGAGACAAGATAAATGTATTCCCAGATTCAGGACTTGAGGGACAAAGGAAGGCAAGGGTAAAATGAGCAAGTGAATATAGAGATTAAGTTCAAGTCTACATACAAAAGGACTCTGGTGCCTCTCCCACCAGCGCTAGAACACTTGCAGTCATGTTTACCCAAGAAAGGCAAGTGGAGGTTCCTTCTAGAGAACATGAATTTAAAAAAGAAGAGGCCTACAGAAGCTATAACTTGAGGGTTCTGAACAAAAAAGGCAGCAGACGACCTAATTTCAGTAGATGATGAGAGGGCAAACTCTAAAATTAACAAACCAAGAAAAAGTGACATATACATGCTAATTAGAAATACGAAAATGTCAAGAAAAATAGGCAAAATATAGAAACCCATTAGGAACTAAACAATATTGGGAGTGAGGAGAAACAAAGGACAGCTTTTGTTGCTGTTCTTGTAAGCCTTTTTGCTGTTCTTCTAAGCCTTTCAGCACGATTTTACTATAGAACAGAATGTTAGCCATGATTCTATTTTTTGTATTTAAACACTTTTGCACTATATCTTTTTTCACAGCAAGATTGTATCTCTGTTATAAAAGAGAGAAACCTAATTTTTAAAATTAAATTATAAGCAGAGGTAAAAACTAAGAGGGGTTCTCCAATTACTAATAATAATTCTTCTATTCCAAATTCAAAAAGCTCAAGAATTAGGGATTTTCACCCTGACCAGGTAGCTCAGTTGGTTAGAGCGTGGTCCCAATACACCAAGGTTTGTTGGTTTGACCCCTGGTCAGAGCACATGCAAGAATCTACGAATGCATAAATAAGTGGAACAACAGATCAATGTTGTTCTCTCTCTCTTTCCCCCTTCTTCTCTCTCTCTAAAAATCAATTTTTTAAAATTAAAAAAAAAATTAGGGATTATCATATTTTCTCACATCTATGACAGATGGATCTTTACTAAGTTTCATGTCTTACGAGTCTCAAAGATCATTTAGTTCTTCTACGTATGGCCCCCATGCAGTGTTGAATTTCTTCTATAGCATGCCCAAGAAGAGGGCAGCAAGCCCAAGCAGGGACAGTCCCACCGTTAAATTCTTTCCTGAGCAATCCATCCCATTCATGGGCACCTCTGCTTGGGAACTCTTCTCTAAGCTAACATTTCTTTCCCTGTAAGCTCTGTTTGTTAGCTACGAGTCCTGCTGCTACTCCTTGGGCCAATTTGTCTGGCCTGTACATATCAGCTCTATAACAGCTGAAGACAGCTATCATGTCTACCCAAAACTTCTCTTGGTGCAACTTTCTTAGTCCCTAATATGTTCAAGCATTACACAACAAATAAAATAATACATAAAGTTATATTCTAAATGAGGGTGAATAAAAAAAAACACAAAATGTGTGTAACTAGCAATTATAACTATAATGTCTAAAATGTCCATAAATTAGGGAACAGTTAAATAATTGTGAAGCCTATGTACTATGTAATACTACACACACGTATACAAATACAGTTCTTGTACGGGACCTATAAAGCTTTAGTACATGTACCTATATGCATGTGCACCTCCCCCTACTAATCAAGTTTTCCTTGTTTATCTTCTGTGCTCAATGCCTACAGTATCTGGGACATAATTCATATTAAATGTTTACTGAATGAATGAATGAATGAATATATGAAAGAAAAACTTTATGCACAAAGACATTCACTAAATATTATGAAGCAGAGAAACAAATAAAAATGGCTAAATAAATTATGGTTTATCTTTCAGAACATATACAGGGGTGAGCAAAAGTAGGTTTACAGCTGTGAGTACTTGAAACACAGTTTACTCTTGTATTAATTATTGCATTATTTTCCATGCGAACAACTGTAAACCTGCTTTTGCCAACCACTGTATACCCATAAAAAAAGTTTTGAAGGTTATACAAACAGGAAAACATTTGGACAGTGTTAGAAAGGAAAAAAGTCAAGTATAAAACAGAATACAGCACAATTACAAACTCTGCTTTTTAAAAACTATGTATAGAAACCTATAAAAAATTTTATAGTAGTAACATCTGGGTGATAGAACTATGAGAGACAGCTCATTCTTTATTTTACATTTTAAAACTCTCACCTGAGGGTATGTTTATTGATTTTAGAGAGAGAGGGAGGGAAGGAGAAAGAGAGAGACCGATGTGCAAGAGAAACACTGACGGGCTGCCTCCGTATGCGCCCCGACCAGGGATGGAACCTTTTGGTGTACAGGACGATGCTCCAACTAACTGAGCCACCCGGCGGGTGAGAGCAGTTCTTTCTACTTTGCTAGATTTTCCACAATTTTATAAATGATTATATACCAATTTATGATAAAAATATATTTATTAGTATAAGTTCTAAAATTTGATTGTGAATTATAATATTTTAATAAAGTTGTTAATATGTGTATCTAAATCTTTATTGTAAAAACACAACAATAAAAAAAAAAAAGAAAAGAAAAGGAGCTGGAAGGGATGTAAGAGACCATCCAGGCTGGTGCTCTCATTTTGTATACTAGAGAAAAGCTTTAGCTAAAATCACCAGTTCATTAGTGGCCAAACCCAGGCCAGGACTGGGACCTCCTCCCAATCCAGTGCCTTACAATACTTCTGCTGCTTTTATTTAGACAATGTTAGTTTAGTAAATCGAGATTTGATTAGGTGCTTTTTTGGGCCCCAAGTTCATTTAAAAGAAGTGTTGCCCCAAAATAAAATTTTCTGAAGTAAATAGTCAACTGAGAGAGTGAGAAAGAAATCAATGGGAATTTATATTAAACCAGAGTTCAACTCAAATATCTGACAAAAAGCCTTAATAACTATATAGTTCAATCAAGAAATGGACATGCTTGTGATCACTAAAATTGCTGAAATTCAAGAGCCTGGACAAGGGCTGGAATAGATGACTTCCAAGCTTCTCTCCTAACCAAGGTTATTTTAAATGAAACGTCTTTATCACAAATATTATTATACATATAATCAGTAAATATCTCTTTTCAGTATTGAAATTCTCTGACAGAACCTGATATAGATCCACATATTACACTAAATTTTTCATCACAAAGTAGCTTCAATGGCAGCATGGGTTCAAGGTCTACGTAAGCTATGAGTAATTATATTACTAATGGCTGGATATTTCATACTCTAAATATTAAAATATCTACAATGAGATCGCCAATTACACAGTCACCATCCATCCCCTTACTTTAACTCATATTAAAAATAATATTACAATTCCTTACCATAAAGAACAGACTGGATGGATATGTGCACTAATTATTTTAGCAATGCCTCTTGTCAAAAAATCCCAGATGACAATCCGGCCATCATTACAGCCAACTGCAAGCAGCGTGCCCCACCTGTTAAAGGTGCAAGTCAGGGCCATGCTGATACAATCCAAAGTTCCATCAGCTTCCTAAAAATTCAAATGAACACAAGAATATAGACAATAATACCCAGGTATCCAAATTATTCTTTAAAGGTTCTCTACCATCTATGACATTTTAATTAATTTAAATCATGATATACACCAAAATAATCTCTATGTACATCCTTATACCTATTAAACTAGTCAAAATGGAGAAATATTTATAAAAGCTAACAGAGAATTTTTGGAAATAAATGTGACCAATCCCTTATATTACTTTGTACACACACTCTGAAGGACAAGTAGGCCAAATGTAACAAGATTCATTAAAAGTCATCCTATTGACCCAGTAATCATGTTTTTTGGAACTTATCCCAAGAAAAATAATTTAAAACAAAAACCCTAGAACAGCCAAATAAATTCTTTTATATTAATATCAAGCCATTTAAAATAATCATGACTACACTGAAATATATTCCAAGTATTACACAATACATTTTTACATTTAAAAAAGCAGACTTATATCATAGACATTGATTTATTACTATGTAAAAGCATTGGTCAAAACTAGAAAAAATCTATATACAGGTCATGGTGCTGTTTGTGATCCCTTCATCAAAGTCTTTAATTTAAAGGGAAATGAACTGTAAGATTTACATTATTTACATTATGGTGAGATGTCCCACCAATATTACTTATCTGCACCCCTCACTCAAAACCCAACATTTAGTTCCTTATTATAGCAAAAGATATATCATCATGTTTAATGCTTCTGTTGTCAAAAAAAAAAGAGAAAAAAAAGGATCAAAACGCATTTCCCAGTTAAACACAAAAGCCAGTGAGTTGTCATCTTCCTGAAATCACAATACTATACTCTTACCTCTGGATAATTCTGCCCAAAGGACTCTGCAACAAAGCAAAGAAAAGGAGTTGATGGAACACATGCAGCATACTGGGGGTCCTACAGCTCATGAACGGCGTATAGCAATGATCCGCACAGTGCAGATGGGGAACTAACACCCTTTCCTACTGTCATTATCACACCAAGATGGCACTTGCCTTTTAATTCTCATTATCTCCTAAGTTTATAGAGTTCTCCTGAGGCTATATGACCTATGATATTGCAACAGAGTGAATGCAGAAGCAGATGTAAGAATTCTGCCAACTTCTACTTGGCAAACTTTACAGAGATTTTTTAAAATGTAAAACAATGCCACTCTCCTAATTTTTTTGTTTTAAAAAAGTTATTTTTCATAGGATATGTTAGTTATGTAAACATGTAATGATATTATGGTTATTTTAAAATAACAAACTTTTTAAAAATCAAATCAGTCAAATTATCTTAAGTCCCAACTATTCTCTAAAACCTTTTTATTAACAGCAGACAACCAGCAGCAATCATTCCCCTTATTAATAACAGCATTTAGGTTGTAACATAATCTGGCAGTTGGTTAAACACACAAGTCTCTATTTCCTAAGCAAACAACATTTTGGTACAAAAATCCCTGAATGTTTTTCCTATCTTAAATTTGGAATTTATACACAAGTAGTAATAAACATTTCAAGCTATAGATGATATGATACTGCCTGCTTGTCAAAAGTTTAATTTCAGCAGCAGCACCATCTTTGTCAGTATTTACTTATGTAATTTCTTAAAGAGGTTATTACAATGATTTTTAAACTACAGTCTGATAACTACAGGTCCAAGAAAGGTGTTTCACATATAGGGCAACCAAATAAGATTTCATTTTTAAAATAAGTCATCTGCTTTTTAAAAATAATAGTCTGGGCACATGCCCAGGTTTCTGGTCCAGTTCCCAGTCAGGGTGCATGAAGGATCACATTAATGTTTCTCTCTCTGTCTGTCTCTCTCTCTCTCCAGGGTGCATGCAGGATCACATTAATGTTTCTCTTTCTCTCTCTCTCTCTCCCCCCCCCCTTTCTCTTTCTAAAACAAACAAGCAAAAACAAAGAATCTGTAAACCACTTTAATTACATTTTGTCCTTTAAAAAAATTAATAGAAAACTGATGAAAACATTAAAACATCAAAAAAACACAGGCCCCATGGTTAAGAAAACTAAAAGATGAAACTCAAGATAACTAATTGCCAAAACGGTATTTATCCTGATTTATCTAATGTGCACCAGACTTATGGTGGCTGACTGCATTCAAAAGAAAAGAATGAAATGAAATGCTGAAACCAGATCAAGATACTACACATATTATTATGTGACTTGCTTCTTGAACAATATATCCTGTACATCTTTCCAAATCAATAATAGAGCTCTACATTCACATGGTTGAGAAACAAACAAAAAGGAGCATTTATTTAAAAATTAAAAACAAAACAAATTTAAAAACACAACCTAAAAATATTAAGAACTCAGGAAGGAACAGAGTGTCATTTGTGCTGTGCTGGAAGAAGGAAAAGCCACACAAAAGATTCTGAGAGAACCTGAACCCAGGGACCATTTTAATGCACGATTTTGTATTTTTGTTTCATGTTTTGGGGTGGGTTTTTTCTTTTTTTGAGGTCCATCCTGGTTAGCAGGGTTACAATAAGGTGTTTAAAGGAACACAAAGGGAAAGTGACGCATAAAGAAGACTAAGCTAGTTTGGGACACTTTGGTTGCAGGGCCTGAGCAAGAATGCTGTCAGGCAGGGTCATGGAAGCACAGTCCATTTCCTCAGAATGCTCGAGAACACTTTTACATTCTCCACCCTCCCACCATCTACCATTCTGTGTTCCAACTGGATTACCTGGATTGCTTGTAAAGACCACTACCAGGAAAAACGATGCCCAAAGATGTGAATGCCAGACACAAAAAAGAATTTAACCTCATAATATACTTGATGATTCAAAAAACATGAATGATTTTTATAGTTAAATAGACATTTCCAATACTGATTACAGAAGAGAAATCCATGACTGGACCAATAGTTAAACAACACACTGTAAGGTTATTAAAGGACTACTATTTTTTTAAAAAAGAGGGGCAGAAGGTTCATATAATTTTGTGCAATTTCTCTTAAATCTCAAGCAGCAGATAATTACTGTTATTTAAGCCATTTCTTTTTTTTAAACATTGTTTATGTTTTTATTTGATTTTTTTAGAGAAAGGGAGGGAGGGAGGGAGGGAGGGGAGAGGGAGAGGAGGAGGCAGAGAAAGAGAGAGAAAGAGAGAGAAAGAGAGAGAAAGAGAGAGACAGAGAGAGACAGAGAGAGATCCATAGGCTGCCTCCCACACACACCCAGACCAGGACCAAACCTTCAGCCTGGGTAAGTGCCCTGACCAGGAACTGAACCTGCCACCTTTTGGTATACGGGACGACACTCCAACCAAGTAAGCCACAATGGCCAGGACTCAAGCTATTACAGAGCAGAAAAAATACTCAAATATGGATAAATTACACTAATTCTCATAGAACAATTTTCATTGGTGTTACTACGTGAATATAAAAGCAAAACACAGTGTATACAATATCTCATTTTTTTTTGTTAATGTGTGTATACACACACACACAAGCAGAGGCATGAAGAAAAATATGAAAGGAGACACGTGGGATTACCAATAAAAGGGAGGAGGCAAGGAAAAAAACACCTTAAAAAAGCATTCATACCTAAAACACTAATTCAAAGGAATATATGCACCCCTATGTTCATTGCAGCGTTATTTACAAGAGCCAAGATTTGGAAGTAGCCCAAGTGTCCATCAGTAGATGAATGGATAAAAAAGCTGTGGGACATTTACACCATGGGATACTACTTGGCTGTAAAAAGGAAGAAAATTTTACCCTTTGTGATAGCATGGATGGACCTGGAGAGCATTATGTTAAGTGAAATAAGCCAGTCAGAGAAAGACAAATACCATATGATCTCACTTATACGTGGAATTTAATGAATAAACTGAACTAACAAGCAAAATAGAGATAGACTCATAGACAGCAGGCTGACAGCTCTGGGTGGGGGGTGTTGGGTTTGAGCAAAAAAGAAAAAAAGAGAAAGAACTCATGGACATGGACAACACGGTGATGACTGTGGGGAGTGGGGGGGTTGGCGGTGGAAGACGGTATGAGGGGGCAAATGGTGATGGAAAAAAAATAAAGGGAAAAAAAGCAGTTGTAGTTAAAACTATACATTATGAGTGTGTATCTACATGAATGTATTAAAAATCGCGAGATCTATTATCTCCTAATGTGTAGGAACAGTATCTTTACAGTGTTAAATGAAGAAAGCAAGTTGCAAATAATGTATATAAAAAGCCTGTACCACCCTCACATGTTCACCTTTGGCTGTGTGCCCTTCTTGTATAGTAGGTCCTCAAATAATGTCCTTTCATTATAACATTGATAAGATGCTGCTGTAGGAACTTACAGCAATTAGCCCATGGCAAAATTGGTTTCATTAGACTATGTCATTTTGCTTAAAGTCACAGAACCTATCAATGACATTGAGTATATGCCTTTTTGGAATCTGAGTTTATAGACTCCTTTCAGTGCAAATCACACCAGTTTCTTCAGGTGTCGCCTCCTTTTCTTCTATCAGTATCCTTTCTCCAAACTGCCTTTTAGCTTTCCAGGCCTTTCAGGCCTTCTTCCTCCCAGTCTAGTGATAGGGAATAATGTTACTCTCTAAACTGCTGAGCGTCCCCTCCTTAAAGAACTGATTATCATGACCTCTAAAATTTCATGGGCCTTTTCTCCCAATGGTTCTATTATTTCCTACTTGCCGACTTCCTATTGAAAGTTAGGTCCACAGTAGCAGTTTCTATTCTGCTTCTTCAATCTAACAAGTGATGACAGAGTTGGTGGCATTTCTTTTAGAGAAATGCACTTGCAGGTGTCTAGATAACTGATCCCACCTCACCCACTCCAATCCAATACTATCACTACCATAATTACTACATTTCCTAGGCTCCAGTCTTGCCTCCCTCAACACTTCACAAAGTAAAGGTGCCACAGCCAACTTTCTAAGCCCCAAACCTCATCATCTCACTTACCTGCTACAAAATCTCCCTTGCTAAACAATATGCTAAACTCCTAAATGTAATTTTAAAAAGCAATTTCAATCTAGCCTCAGCCGGTATTTTCCAGTTTATCTTTGACTAACTCCCCATCGGTACCTAGTATAGAACCTTGTATAACCCACCCTAAGCACTGGCTATAAACTGCTAACCATTTCCTGAACATACCACACACATTTTACCCATACTGTTCTCTGCACTGGTAATTACCACTCCAACTTGTCCCTCTGGAAAAATCCTACTTCATCTTTACTGTCTGGGTTAAATGACACTTCCTCTGTAAAATCATCCCCAAATTTTATTGCCAATCCCAACAATACAAAATTAATTGCTCTCTTAGCTGTTTTCATATTATTCACAGTTATCTGTTTATGTTTCTCTCTTCCTAGTTCTATGTATTTATCCAGGGTAAAGCTGTATCTTATTTCAATGTTTTTCAAACAGCGGGACCCAATCTATCATAAATGGATAAATCAACTTAGTGAGCCACAAAGTTTATAACAGATTAGAAGATACCAGAAGACACTTAGCTTAAAGATTAAGTGTAATTTTGAGAAACGCAGTTATATATATAAGTACATATAATGGGTTGTGATAAAGCACAACTACTTTCCAGCTGGGCATTCAGGAGCCTCCACAAAAATTGATGGCACCAAGCCCATTTCTTGAGCTTCTCTTTATTCACAGCTTGGCCCACAACCTGGCCAAGCAGATAAATTCTTTAGGTCTCCTCTCACTGATGTCTTAAATCAAGCATATCCCTAATAAGCACTCCTCCCCATATCGTCATACTACAGTCTGTCAATATTTTACCAATCTTAAAAGTCCACTCAAAACTCCAACTCCTCCACAGGCTTTTTGTTTCCGATTACCTTTCTTCCCCTGCCCCAAAGACATTCGTTCCCTCTTTTAAATGTTCTTAGTTCTTTGTAATGACTCTAAAAGGCCTTCCTAGGTTCTGCAATACGTTATGGCTATTTACATAATCATCTTAATCTTTCTACATAACAAAAAGCCCCTTAAAGTTTCTTAAATATCTTTGTAGCCCTTTGTACAACCAGAAACACCTGATTTTTTTTTTTTTTTTTAAAGAGAAACATAACCATTAAAGACAGCAAGTCGTTTAGGAGTTCTGGAAAACCTCAGACATCCCTAGGCTATCATGCTAAACACCTAATGAAAGCCTCGAAGAAACAAACCTACAGTTTTTTAACAACTTGGGTAAGGGGTAGAGAGGAAATGACTCAAAGAGAGGATGATAAAAGGCAACTACCTCAGTAGTTCACACCTCAGTGTTTTACACACTGTCCCTGGTAGTTATGGAGCTTAAATAGGAAGTCAAGATAACGGAATTCCAGTGCCAACTATGCCATGTACTTGTTTAGTGCCTTCCAGTCACTACCTTCTGGGCCTTTTTTCATCTGTTCATTGAGGGACTTCAACTAGATGATCTCCAAGTTCCACCCTTAGGCATCCCGTATTTCTACAAAAAGACTTAATCTGTCCAGACACCCAAATCCCTGACAAGTCTTCAGAGCTTCACCTCAAGCCTCACTTCCTCGGATTCCTTCTTCTCCAGTAACTTTGGTCCTGCCTGTTCTGAGCTACTTCAGCACCTGTGATCCTTGTCATCAAAACTAAGTCACAAACTGTCCCTACTACTCCAAAATTGATTAGAAAGTAGCCTCGGGAAAGGCAATGCATTCTGCTTGGCAGAAGCTGGGCTTTCCCCTGCTGCTGCTGCTGCTGCTGCTGCTCCTGCATAGCAGGAGCGCCTAGTGATCCGCAGAGAACCAGGTACCTAAGGTTGCAGCCTGAATCCCTCCCGCCCGTGTTCTCTCTTTTCCAGGACCAAAGGCTTCTCTAAAACGCAGCCATAACCCTCCTTACCGAGCAACTCGAGGTTCATCCCTGAGAACTCTGGCCGCCTGGTCTCAGCTCCAGCGACTACGCCTCTGCCCCGCCGGCTTCTAAGACTGCGTCTAGAAGGGGGGGCGCTGCAAAGACCCTGCCGCCAGCTCCGGACACTTTCTGGTTTAGAAGACCCTGCGGCTTCCGCTTTCTTCCCCCCGCCTTCCCCTTCGTTTCCAGTGGGCTGTCCATATATATGCCTAACCAAAAAAAAAAGAACAAGCTCCCTCGAAATCATTTGATTATGAAATTGACTAAGGGGTAAAATTATTTTCGTCACTTAGTACTTTAGAAAGTGCAAGAACTTGAGAGCGTTTTCCCCTGGGTTATGTAAGTGAGCTGGAAATTTCAGGCACATCTTTAGACTACTAATCCTCGCTATGTTGTGTGTTCAGCAGCGTTGTCCCGGCCAGCTACATCGGAACCCGCAGGAAAGGTTCCGGGCAAATACGACTGACAGGAAAGCCGGAAGGGCAGCCCCAGTGCTGAGGCGTGGGGCGGAGCTGCCGTCGCCGAGGCTCGGACTCACCTATAGGTAGCTAGTTATTGTGTATCTGTCTGTCTCGTCCGGGGATTACTTCACATTTGTAAAGATACGCCATCGATCCCACGGACATGTACGACAGTATTTGTTAGGCCTTTACCTCGGGCCTTACCGTGCGCCCGGTGTTGGCCAGGAGCGACCTGGGCGGGAGGCGGGCCGGGCCGCGCGGAGCCACAGGCAGCGGCTGGAGGCCGCCGAGGGGACTAATGGAGAAGCCAGCGCTGTGTTAACGCGTTTCAACTGTGGGTGTCACAAAAAAACAAGGCGTCGCTGCCAAAAATAGTTCGCCGCCAGAAAGAAGCGGGATCCCCGGTGCGGATTTCACACCGGCCGCCGCCGCTCCCCCCTGTGGGCAAGATCGTATTCCCGTTGCCTCCGTTTTCTTACCTGTGAAACGGAGGTGGTAGGGGCCCTACTCCCAGAATTATTGTGAAGATTAAATGAGGTAACACGTAGGAAGTGCTTAGAACAGCGAGTGCCTGGTGGACGTTAGCTCCTATTATTTACAAACCACTTTGCCCGAAGTTATCTCACCTCCTTAAGGCCATTGGGGTAGATATCAGTCCACTTTGACCAAATGCAGTAATTTTTTTTTTTTTCTCCTTCCTTAGTGCTCTATAACTGTGTGTCTTACAGCTTGTGGTATCTTTGATCTGATGAAAAACAGTAGACCTGGTAGACTTGGCTGGACGAGTGTTAGCCGGAGCTTATGAACACTTCCAGCTGCAAAGGAGGGCACCCAGATTTGTGTGTTGAAGGGGAGAAAAGGAAACTTAATATCCTTCCTTCTCCGTCTGAAGTAACTTGTATCTGTCATTCAGACTCGGTGTGAGAGAGAACTTGTTTCTTAGCTAGGCTGAACTTTTATCTCATTAAAGTTTTTTTTACAAATCCTCACTAAATCAGGCCAGTTGGTACTTACCTCTTCTCCAGATAAAAATCAGATAGCTGAGTCCACCCTTTTCTTCAACTCTGCAAACACACCTTTTGCTTTTAATTTACTGTAGTCTTATGGGACCGCCGCTGTGTATGCAGCCGGTTGTTGACCGAGACATCATCTTGTAGGGCATGACTGCAGATTCATCAGAGCAGCGGGCCCTGCGAACCGCCCCCCAAAGTGGAGAGACAAACTGGCCAATACAGACATCACAGCTTACCAGAGTGAAAGCCCCTGAGCAGAAACTTTTGCAGGAATCAGTGTCGGTGTATGAAAACCTGAACTGTAAGGAGACACAGCATGGACAAGTCTGAGAGTTAAAACTCCTGGGAGCCCGCCGGCCGTGGCTCAGTGGCTGAGCGTCGACCTGGGATCCAGGCGATCGGGTTTGACTCCCGGTCGGGGCACGTGCCCGGGTTGTGGGCTCCATCCCCAGATCCCCAGTCCGGAGCATGCAGGAGGCAGCCGATGGATGACTCTCTCATCATTGATGTTTCTCTCTTTCTCCCTCTCCTTTCCTCTCTCTGAAGTCAATACAGATATGTTTAAAAAAAATAACAAGAACTCCTGGGAACCCAGTCATAGGGGTGTCACTACCCTTTTGTGAGTTTTACCTCCAGGAGATACACCAGTTCTCATACTGAATATGGGAGAAAAATCCCCTTGTGCTTCCACCAAGAGGAAAGGAAAGAACTATTTTGAAATATGTCTGAGCATTCTGTTGTTCTTAACAAAGCTTGTCCTTGAGAGAAATTATTTTACCAGAGCCTAAGCTATTGGGGGTTTTTCAGAGCCTAACCAACCTGGGAGAAGGGAAATTGCTAACTCCAACTCACTCTAGCTTTCCATATGGGAAAAGGGAAATATCCAGCTCAAGCCCACTCTGGCCATCTTGTCACAGGG